GCCCACGATATTTCGGGCCTTTGGATAACACATTTCGCAGAGAATTATAATTTTCTGCGTTTCGAAGTATAGAAGAAAATTATTGTACTAACGGTTCTTTCATATATATGTATGGACACGTGATATTAATTGTAGTATCACGTGAGTGGTCATTTTTCGCGGGTTAATTTCCCAATTAGACCATTCTCTCGCCAACTTCGAACTGGTCAAGTTCAGATATAATGTTGGCTCATTATTGTTTGATTCTTTCTTATTTTGTACTATATATAGGTATATTGCTTAACAGTATACATTTTGTTGTATTTTGTTTATGTTAACATAAGCCAATTTTCAGTACTGTCTAATGTACACCTCTCGAGACGATCTTCCGAGCATTAGGGTTTGGACACAGGTTTCCATATCGACTAAGGTAACTTGGTTGTTGGTTTTTCCTGGCCGGCGGGTTCGTTTATGACAGAGTATTTTTTTTCAATTCGTATTGAAAGCTTGAATATTGTTTATATGTATATAGATATTATTTGCATAAAATTAGTATGTGTATTAATGATAGATTATAATAAAATCCGGTGTCCTTCTAGTCTTGTGGGCGATCGGCAATTGTAAAATTGTGTTTGAGATATTTTTGCCATATATAAGTATAGTGTGTACGTGTAATTGACCGTGATTAGGTCACCAGTAATAACGTGGCCAGTCGGATTGTATATCAATGGGGAACTAGCACAGGATATTTACATTTGAAGTCGTCAATGTTGAGATCGTGCAACACGTGTTTACTTGAAAATTATAGTTGCAATTGGTTTTGTATAGGTATAAGAAATATTAGAACATATTCACCCCTTCTCGTCCAATGGAAAATTAGTTTTTTTCCTTCTTATTTTCATAGTACATGGCTTTCCATGCACTATAAACTGCTATACTTGAATGATTTTCATTGTAGATTAATTATTATATCCCAACTCATTTGTTCTTACAGGGTTGTTCTGAGTCGGATCACCCCTACCAGATCACCCTTCCTTGAGTTTCTTTGTTCTGCATGCTTTATTTTGTTCTGTAACATTTTGGCGGGAATGGCGAACGCACTATAAAACTTAGAAATATTTAAGCGGAATAAAGACTAACTTTCAAAATGTAAGTAGAAAAAAATCCACTAAGTTCCCAGTGTTTTTGCGGGGAATCGAACTCGGAAGACCTCAAGCATATGAAGCCACCATTCATACCCCTACACCAGGACGACTGGATACAAACTCACTTTTAATTTAACACATTTAAACATTGTATCCGGGGCTCTTAAAGGGTATATACTATAAAGTAATATATTATGTATATTATAATTATTGTATGGCATTCTGAACTAGATGTTATGAAGCGTAAATGTTTTTTTTTCATATAGTCTCGGATGTAAAAAAAAGTTATCCCACGCGGACTTGGTTTGTCAGTGTAAGATCACCCTCCGGCCTCCGGCCATCGGGGTGATCTTACACTGACACACCGCGTCCTCATGGGATATCTATTACTGAAAGTGAACTCTTTTAAAACAAGTATTAGATACAATACAAAGGTAACAAAGAAACAGGCCGGTAACAACCGTTGCCAGATTGTTTTTCTGCACGAGTAGTCAGGTCAAGGTCCGAGGCGATAGCCGAGGATCTTGACCTGACTACAAGTGCAGACAAAGTATACGGCAGGTTGTTTCCGGCCTGTTTTTTGTTACCTTTGTTTTGTATCTGACTTGTACGACGTTTCAAGAAGGAAGAAGTACATTTTGCATTTAGAAGAGGTAGCAAAACTAAAGATATTAGAAACTTAAATGGCCATATACCAGTTAATGTAAGTTACAGTTTAAACTCAATTTTTTTTTCTCAATTCCCTTCAGCCGAGAGTTTTTTCTTAAAAAAATCAATAATCTATTAACTTTATAAAAAGAACCATTTCAAGTTAAAGGTGAATGTTATACACATTTGAGACTTTTTGAAATGCAACTTCGCAAGTAAGTAATGTATAAAAAAAGATTTCAGAGGTAAGCAAGCTACCATTTGATTTTTATTGGGGGAAAAAGGGGAGTTAAAATAAATTTAAAATAAATAGGCTTCATCCTTTTTTTGTTGAAAGAATGCAGGCTGTGCCATTCCAGCCCCTGCCCCCCCCCCCCCCCCCCCCCCTCATTCCCCCTAAAAAATTCGTAAAAATCGTACGCCGCCAAATATATGAATTCAATAACAATATAAGTGTATCAAAAGAATGAATTTCCTATCTCATTAGTGAATGAAATGTTATGAAAAAATGGATTTTGTCTTGTTATTAGATATATATAGGCATATATTTTGGATTAAAAAAAATGTTCATGCTTATAGGTTTTTATATGTCTCTGATAGTGTTGATCAGGATTAAACACGTGTCATTATATGATCCAATCAGACCTTACCGTCCAAAATTGATGACATAAGTTGAATGATTTTCTTCAAGATTTGCTGCCTATGTGAACGTGTATTACACGGACACTTTTTATTTATAGGATCAATCGTGCATTGGTGAGTTGATAGGGATTTTATCTTTCGATTAGATTTGATTTCTTTTATATAAATATATGCTGTCTTATTTATTGAAATATAAACGTTGGCACCAGTATTTCTTTCAGCATTGTCCAGAATACTATTCATGTCCATATATTGAAAAAAAAAAAAAAATTTACGGACCGACCATTTAGCTTCAAAAGGGGGTGTGTTCTTTTCTAAGTAAGAAAATTATTTAGTTTTTCAACTATATAATATATTATATATTTTTTCTCATAAAATTGGGGATCAAAATATTTTTTAAGGAAAAAACCGTAACCCACCTTTTGAAGTTAAATGGTCAATCCCTTAGTGTACTAATATGAATAGTTACTGGAATTGTTTGAAGAAAAATATAGTTATTGATGCTAACGTAAATATTTTAATTAAAAAGACAGGAAATATGTCGGTGAAACAAAAAGTTCAAATCTAATTGAAATTTAAAGTGCCTATGAACTCACTGATCATGCACGAGTGATTCTATTCATAAAAAGTGTCCGTGTAACAATTAAAAAGTGTCCGTGTATCATCTAAAAAGTGTCCGTGTAACACCCGTTAATGTACTGTTTTTCTATAGCTCTGCTGGGGGCAAAGTCTTACAACAACTCTAACGAAGTGTACAATCCTTTGATGCAATTTCCATATGAAAAAAGCCTACTGATTAAAGATGAAAGAGAATAGAATTATAAAAAATATTTTGAATATTGCAAATGTTTATAATGGAACATATATTGAACAAAACAAAAACAAAATAAAATGGGGCAAAATTATTGTAAAATAACATTTAATCTATTTTTGTATACCAGACCTTAGAGTCAATGTTTTTTTTCAAAGAAAACAATGACTGCTGATATATAATGCAAAGGAACATTTTCATTATAAAAAAAAAATCGAATTACATTCTACAATAAAAAGTAAGCATCTGATGTTGAATGATCGTAATTTTAATATTTATTGAGTGAGTTTTATAATAATCAAATAATATACAAATTTCAAAGACCTGATTTATATAACATTATGTGATTTTAACATAAGTATCAAATTTTACGTGTAGCAGAACAATACTCAATTTCTAAACAATTTTTCCTTTTTGTCCTCACAAAACTATCTCAGTGCTATTTCATTCCATCCATTGAAATGACCATTACATATGATATACAGTCCTTTTATTAACCAAGTTAACACTTAATTATTAAAAGTGAATTCTTATTAAGGTTTGAATATTACAATGGGAAAGGATAATTTTGTAATGTCACTTGAAGTGGGAATATGTTCTAAATTGGTCAGGCAATACTTGGTCATGTTTCATGAACATTTAAAACCCTCGGCTACGTCTTGGGCTTTAAATATTCATAAAACATAATCAAGTGTTGTCTAACCTATCATAGGTACAGACTGATCTTTAAAAAAGGGGGGTATTTTCTCGAGTGAACTGATTTATGATGAATGATATTACCCAAGTCGATGGCATCGAGACCTTTATTTGTCGGCGAAAGAAAGTTTAAGAAAAGGATCTTTTCTCCTTTCATGTCTCTTCCAATGCGATTTTTTTAAGGTTATGTGTCTTTCTTCAGATATGGATTTTATTCTCGTGATTTTTATCATAATTGTTTATTAATTTTACAAAAAGCGTGCATTTTCAGCATTGTTTCATCTATTCAGTAGAAAAAATTATCAGCGCAATAGATTTGATTTTGTAAGATGTTACAAAAACATATCTAATGGTTATATTTTGAATTGCAAATCATAATACTGTAAGTTCTTTTATAATAAGTAAGACGTTGGTGAATTAAAAAATAAGCTAGATGTGCCAGAATGACACGCATGCATGTGGCCCCGCTTGCAAAAATTGCTGGAAGTTTTGAAGTGAAATTTGAGAATAAAAGTCCGTATAACACGAAATTTCCAAAGACCTTAGCCCATAATTTCGACAAAAATCAATGGAGCGAAAATCAAACCTAAATCGATCTGTAACTCATCATAGTAGACTTACACTAAAGTCAGCTCAATAAGTGAAGGCGTTTAGAAAAAAAAAGTCCGTATAACTGTTATTTTCTCGACATTTTTCAAAGTCCAAAGCCGTAATTTCGGCAAACATTAGCGGAGCGAAATCAAACATAAACTCGATCTATAATTCAGCATAGTAAAAATCAGCTCAATATGTGATGGCGTTTTGAAAAAAATGTTCGTATTACTGTTCGTTGCGGAATGACGGAATGACGGGTAAGGGTTAAACTATATGAACTCGACCACTTTGTGGTTCAGAGATTGATAGTGACTGGAAACAAAACAGAAATCGTGAATAAATAGTTCTATTGATCCGGAATTCATGTGTGTCTATTCCAAAAAACAACATGAACTATCTTCAAGACAAAATAAAATATTTCATATGTAAAATATATAAGTATATATATTCGCAAAATGTATAAAATCAATATTTTCCAGGTGTGCATATAAATAACAGTGGTACCATTTTAAAAGGAACTATAGATGGCGAAATACTAACACTAATGTGTAAAGTCGATATGCTTGAATCGTATATAAAAATCATCAATCCAAACGGATCAGTTGTTGGTAGCTGCTTGCCACCTATTCATACTCGATCATTTGGTGTATGTACAAATAGGATGACACAGTTCTTAGATTCCAACCGAACAATAATGACAATAAATATTTTTAGCGATAATTATATTGGTGGTACGTGGATATGTATTCATGGTAGTAATGCATCAAAAGATACTTTTATTGTTGAAGACATCAATGCAGAAAAAAACTCTTTCGGGGGTAAGTTTTCCTTGTGGCTATTTTAAAAAGATGAGGCTTATGATAATTGCATTAATATTGATATATCATAGACAATTGTCAAAAGAAGAAAACATATATATACACTATTTGATCTCTATATATTTGTATGGTCTTGTCCTACAAATATAACAAATTTTTAATTTTGGTTTCCATTCGTTCCATTGGCTTACATTCACTCTGTAGGGTGATATAGTCGAGCGTTTGATTATGTCAGGTTTTACGGAATTCCACTTTTTAATTCACCTTGGAGTACCACGGTGGGTAAGGTTATCCTGCGAGAGAACGTTCTGTGCTGGTGATTCGGTCCTGACTGGTGCTGGTGATCATTAAAAATATGTAAACAAAGACGAAAATGACGAATTTTGACGTTTTCTCGCATAAAAAATGGAAGGAAACAGTTGAGATGTTTTAATTTTGTTTCTTATGGGTTCATAGGAAAACAATTACAAATATGACCCTCTAAACTGTTTCAGTAAGCGTAACACAAAAGTGCTCATTTTTAGAAAATCTAGAACTGAAAAAATAAAAAAAAAAGCTCCTGGAGTCCGCTTTCTATACCCAAATCCACACGACAAAATTATTTTGTGAAAAACCTGTGCAATTTATTAAAATTGTGCATTTTCTCAGTTTAGACATGTCCTGATTCTGTGCTGGTGGGTCCTGTCATTGTGCTGGTGGGTCCTGATACGGTGCTGGTGATTTTGGGTAAACAGTTGTTTATATTTGAAACAAACGTTACAGAATCAATAAAATTGGGCAGATAATTGTATTCAATCGGATTTGTGACTCCTATTTTTACTTTTGTACATCCATTTGGCTGTTTAATAAGCGTTTTCAAATAATCGTAACTTATATTACATAAAAGGGCAACATCTTCCGTCCAATATCAGATGAAAATATATCTAATTAGAATAGTTTTATTTAAGATCTTAAATGCCCTTAAATTGATGATTCTCTACATAATATGCTAACTAAAACAGTTTTAAAAGGTGCTTAAGGTTAAACGACATGTATATTATAACGACAATAAACGTTTGACTGGTTTATTTCAGTTAAATATACGAGGTTAGATGATCTTACTACTGGTGCCTCTAATTTCTTCCTTAATATATACACTGTCTCCAATACATTTCGACTGGATAAAAAAACTACATAGACTTGCTTTTCATACATGACTGATAAAAACTTACTAGAATGAAACAAGATGTGAACAATTGCAAGTCAAAGTATGACCTTCAACAACGAGCAAAAACCATAACGAATACTAGCTATAAAAATCACGGTAAACGATTAAAAAATGAAGACCTTCGGCCTGATTTAAAATACAACTTTGAACAAAAAACAAACATGACAGATAGCAAGCATCGACAACCACTGGTTTTGGGCACTCGTGACAGGGCTTAACATGTTTGTTTGCGCTCCACACCCCACCCCACCCCTCCTCCTTTCCTCCTTCATTGGTACAGTGGTGTAACAACACAACAATTAGCACACAAAATAATAACATAAAGACACAAATTATTGAACCACGAGTACTCGCAGCTACTGAAAGCTAGTTCAAGTAATAGATAAATAGATATAGGAAGATGTGGTATGAGTGCCAATGAGACAACTCTCCATCCAAGTTACAATTTATAAAAGTAAACCATTATAGGTCAAGGTACGGCCTTCAACACGGAGCATTGGAAACCATGTTCTCTTCGATTAAAATCTCAATCGGTACACATCAAACAAATTTCGCAAAACTTAAGTTTACATTTTAATATTTGTTTTAGCAAAACTTTAAAACTGTGTAGTGAATCTTGTGCTCACAACAGTTATTGTCATAAATATGTATACGTCAGACATTGTAAAAGCATGTGGAAGATACTAAGTAGTATTTTACAGTTCAATTTATTGATCATAAAGGGATGGAGATTGCATGGAGCTTCACATAGGATAAGAAGAAATTGATAGTATTTTTGGCGAAAGACTTTAAACCTTCTTTGCATTAAATTCTGAAAGTTTTCTTGTTGCCGTAAATGGTAAAACCCTCAACAAAATCTCAATAATTTGTTGGAATGAATAAAGGTTTTAAATCAAATTTTCATGGACTTTGATCCACTTTTTAGCTCCCACCCTGACGAGCCATGTGAGCTGTCGGTATCCTGTTGCATCTACGCCCGTAAACTTTCACATTTCCATCTTTTTACCCAATTCATACGTGACAGGATTATTATCCTAGTAACGGTGTTACCAATGTATCGAACATTTTAAGTTAAAAAAATTCCACAATACTATATTCATTTTGTGTGTCAATTTGTTTAGACAAAACAAAACTGCAAAAACTTCGAATACAAGAGAGTATATTTTTTTTAAATGTCATTATTATCTGTCGATTTCTAGATCTATGCATAGTATTTATTTCAGATGACATGGATTTCACACCCTGGTGACCCTGCTTCCCTTCATATATTCATATTTATCGTCCCTCCCTACGCCTATATCACCCTGCTCAGTCGCTCCGTAATTCTCGTATCACGGCTTTGAGACGAGAGCAGGCATTATCAGCGACGTCACAATGTCTGAGGAGAAGTTATCAGCGACGTCACAATGTGAGAGGAGACGTTATCAAGTTTGCTTTCGTCAAGCGTAAAACTGTCTTAAGGAGGGGGAAAAGACCAGTTATAGAACGATAAACAGATAATCGGGTTTTCTTCGTATAGATATCATAAAATATCTGCCGCTCGACACAATGTGAAGCTTTTTCTCTCGTTCACTGCGCTCACTCGCCGAAAAGGTTCACATTGTGGCTCGCGGTTGATATTTTACGATATCAATGTGTAGAAAACCCGATAATCTATACACATATATAAATAAACAAACTAAAGGCTGCAACTGATTTTTTTTTTGCATGTAAAACGATTCATTGCAACAAGAATATTTGTATTGAATGGAAACTGTGTGGGTCAAAATCTTGTATTGCTGATACATGTTGCTGGACCAAGTTTCGGCATCTGATCTGAATTTTCTGAATTTTCTGAAAAGTGCAAGGTAGATAGACATTGGCCTTGATACAGGTGACCTAAGAGCGAAACGGGTTGATAACCAGTTGAAATTAAACCAAGTTTTGTAAAGTTTGTATATTTGGATTGTATAAAACTGTTTTTTATGGCTTTTAAAAGTTAAATGTAGGTGTATAATTTAAGATTTTTTGCATCTTATATACTTTTTTATACTCAACTGGTAGTATGAAGCTACGAGATATTGTAATTTTTTAACATTAAATTCAACTGAAAAAAAACATGCACGAAAAGATAAAATATTGATCTTAAAAAGCATTAATTTGCATCTCTGCCCCCGGCAACAGTATTTTTTTTTTTTGGGGGGGGGGGGGGGGGGGTCTAAAACTATCTTATCGTAAAGAGACAGACGAGTACACATTTTACGTTCAAGGCTTGTTTGAGTTGATTGTTTTTTTCCTGAAAACGTATAAAATAAAAATAAAATATTTGATATATCTGGCTTTAGATTCGATTTTTTCTTTATATTTAGGCTACATGTTAATATAATAATACTGAGAATTCACAGTACTTATCAAAAAATGAAATAAATGGATGAAGTGAAATACCTTTGTAATGAGTCATTACTACAGAGAAGGTGTGTTTGAAACCTTCGTGCTATTACAAATATTTAACTAAAAGTGTATATCTTAGTCTGGTATTTTATTTTTTCGTTCACTCATTTTTCACTCATTTTCAATCAAAATTTAGGCATATTTTATTTTTATTCAGAAAATATATTTAAAATTAGAAAATTAGGACACATCGTTCACTTACTCCCCCTTAATTCTTTATCAAAAATCCTTGACAACAGACTTTACTTTTGGATCTTTAAAATGCATAACTTAAACAAATCTTATTTTTGTGTGTGTTATCTAGGTTATCTAGTCTTCATTTTCTGACAAATTCTAGTCTGCCCTTCCATGAAATATTTAAATATTTTTTTTAATGTTTTATTGAACTTTCGAAAATTCCCCCTAACAACCGATCAGACAATAATTTTATGTTGACCAGAGGCTTAAAGGTACAGCAAATGATGCTTAATAGCTAATAGATACATTTTTCTCTTAAAGTACAACTTTTAAATCTTACGGGAACCCCCCTTCCCCTCTTAGAAAATGTTTTTATGGTAAAATTATCAACTGCAGTAATAAAATCGTTCTTGATCATCTGCATCAAATTATTTTTTATCAACAATTTTAGAATTTTAAAACTATTCCAAGCTTAATAACTTTCATCGTGACCTCACTCTTCCTTATTCCAAAAAAAAAAACCCGCAATATTATTGTCATACTTTTAGTAAACACTAAATTGTTACAAAGAAATCTGATTTTAGCTGCTGAGGACACATGATTCTTACGCACAGAAACAAGGCTAAGATTCATTTGGTTGAATAAAAAGAAAAGTATCTACAGTATCGCACAAATTTGTCAGAGAAACAGTATCCAGGATGCTTAGGCTACACTGAATGTATTATCTAAACTCACCTAAGAAATGTTCATACTCACCTGATAGTTTGCCGTGATCAACTTAGGTTGTGCTTGATTTTCATATGATGAAGACATAATCTTTCAATCAGTTGAATTGAGGTCTGGAGCTGGCATGGGAGTAACTGTTAGTAGTCCCTTGTTAATTTATGTATCATTGTCATTTTGCTTAGTTTCTTTAGTTACCTATTCTGATACGGACTCGGACTTCTTTTAAACTGAGTTTTACTGTGCGTATTGCTGTGTCTTTGTTTATTCTACATTGGCTAGAGGTATAGGGGGAGGGTTGAGATCTCACAAAGCATGTTTAACCCCACCGCATTTTTGCGCCTGTCCCAAGTCAGGAGCCTCTTGCCTTTGTTAGTCTTGAATGTTTTTTAATTTTAGTTCATTTATATGCTATGGAATTAAGTGTGACGTCCATTTTCATTGAAGTGGTACACATTTTATTTAGGGACCAGCTGAAGCCCGCCTCCGGGTGCGGAATTTTCTCGCTGTGTTGAAGACCCATTGGTGTCCGTCGGCTGTTTTCTGCTCTTTGGTCGGGTTGTTGTCTCTGACACATTCTCCATTTCCATTCTCAATTTTATTAGAAAAACAGTCCTTTATTCTATATTTATGCTCTCCATTTTTATGCAAAACCTTTTACATTTTGATTTTTCGGGTCATTGTTGAAGGTCGTACGGTGACGCATAGTTGTTAACACCAAGTCATTTGATTTCTGATGGAAATTTTTTCCATTGGCAAACATGCCAGATAATCTTTTTTATATAGGTATTGGATATTTTACACCGTATTTTGATGGTCATGCAAAAGGATCGTAATCCCGCAAATCGTATGCATATTTTCTTATCTCAAAGGGTCAAAAGAGGGGTTCAATTAACAGGTCAATATTTTTTTTATTTTGCTCAAATCAGATTACAGTAAATTTAAAATATTGATAATCGATAACAGCATTTTAAATCATCTTAAATGAGAAAACAGTGAATTAAAAAATCAAAAAACAGTAAACAGGGGTATTTTTTTCATAATAACAGTTCACAACAATGTCAATTTTAAGAAAACAGATAACAGCTAATTAGTCAATAACAGTTAACAGCACATATATCTTCAAAATAACAGTTAACAAAAGTTTTAAAATACCAAAACACCTCAACAGAAAGATCTTGCACCCCTCTCAAAAATCAAATAAAAAAAAACAGACTCAACTTGGCTCATATGAAATATCCACCAAATATATGCTAGATATATTTTCTATTAATTATACAAATTTTCTGCATCAATGATCTTGAATATTTGCCACTTTTAACTAAAATATAAAGGCACAGAACCAGGACATAGGTGCACAGAACCAGGACCGTTTTTCTAATCACCAGCACATCGTCAGGACAATTTCGTTTGGCGAATTTGCACGACTTTTTCAAATAAAAAATCGTTGTTATAATCCTCGCATGGTACTTAGGAAGTACCGGTATCAGAGAAAAATTAAGCAACAGAACGGTTGTTTTATTGCCGTTCTGGTACAATGTAAACAAACCCACCAGCACAGAATCAGGACCCACCAGCACCAGTCAGGACCGAATCACCAGCACAAAACGTTCTCTCGCAGGACAACCTTACCCACCGTGAGTACGGTATTTTTGTTAATACTTTCTTTATGAAAACTATCGGATATTCGTACATGAGACTATGTCGACATAACCGAACTTAGCAAAACTAAAAAATCGAACATAAAGGTATTAGAGTTGTTGAACTTGTTGCAAGAATTATCAATAACGAATAGTACAAGATGTGTTGCATTAGTTTAGTACGCGAAGACATAAACAACAATGAGAGATGAAAAAATTGATATATTACAAGAAATATCTATTAAGATTTTCAACAATCAATGTCAAAATTTTATAGATATTTTTGTTCAAATTAAGACGTATTTAAATACAATCTACTTATTTAAGACAAACTTCTTGTCTTTTGGTCTCTGCTGGAGAGTTTTCTCATTGGCAAACATACCACATATTCTTATTTTTATAATCAGTCTGGAAATTTCTAGTAAAATTTTTCATACAAATTTATATTGTACGCAAAATCTTACTGTAGTCTTGTTTCGGGCAATAAATAAACAATGAATTAGCTCAGGTGATCGTTTAACATAAATCAAAATACCCTGTAATACAGTGGGAAATCTAGTGACTAGATATTACCTCTCCTGTAAACACTGAAAACTAGATCTTTTCAATGTTTGTCTCATTTTAGTAAGGACGCTATCAATTATAAATTCACGGTAAAATGTTCTGATAAGTAATGAAAAAAAAAATAAGTTGAAATAAAAACAAAACTTCCATTCAATGTTATCATCACCCTACTTAAATAGAAAACGACGAGTACAGCAGGCTAAAGGAGCTTGGTGTAAAATTGGTTTAAAATGTTGCTATGCGAATAAATTCTAGGAGTATCAACTTCAATTTATTTTTGTACTGACTGTATACCTCTCTGGAACATGCTAATTATCCGCATATATATGCAGCTAGATCAGAGAATGTCAGGGAAAAAATTCCAAAGGAATCGGTTAATATGCAGCAAAGATTGGCACTTTTGAAATTAAGTTACTTAGCAAATTCAAACGGACCTTATCCCGATGTAAACATTGAATGTGAATAGATCGAGAAGACCGCAAATACATGTATAAAAATCGAGACGACCTTTTCTAAAATTGTACAAAATAAAGGCAACAGTGGTATATCGCTGTTCAATAGCCATAAATCGATTGAGAGAAAACAAATCTGGGTTACAAACTAAAACCGAGGAAAACACATCAACTATAAGAGTAAAACAACGAAACAACAGAAACACTGAAGTGCAACAAAAACAAACGCCAACATACATAGAAACGGACTATTTGATAACAACTGCCATATTCCTGACTTGGTACAATAAAAATAGTAAAAAGATGCCCACTTTATAAGAATATTTATCTTTAATTTTTTAACCTGCACAGACAGACTTTTAAATTGTTATATTCATAAAAAAACAATATTTATATATTGAATTTTCAAATGACAAGAGGAGACCGGTTTACTCGAAGACTTAGAATGTGAAGAATAAGTATATTTTGGGAAACTGTAACATGCTAAGGACTTTGTGGAAAACTCCAAAAATTAGTTACCCGAAAAATCTTTAGATTTTGTATGTTCATGATATTTTCATTTTTTTTTTTTATCAATATGCAGCAAAGATTGGCAATTTTTAGATTTCAGTTTCACAAGCTTCTAATGCAATTATCTCGATAAATACTGAACATAAAACATCGTATATTTGCATGAATATTTCTAATGACACAGTTTAATAAATAATTTCTTTAAAATGTACAATTGTTATTAACAAATAACTTTTGATCAGTGTCGTCATCGGTATTGTTTTATTATTGATTTACTCGACTCTATCATAAGAAGAGGTAATTTTCTTTTGTTCTTTTTCACTAGATTTCCCACTGGTAATAACAATACATTAGTTTATGGTTGCGCTTCTGTAAATATAGACAGTGCAACTTCCCATAGGAACTCCTTTTGAGGCTAAAACTTTCCATTTTTACTATAAAGTTTCGTAAAAAATTTATATCCTAGAATGGAAAATTCATATGCACTACTATTTTTTTCAAAGGTCAAAACATAGGGCTTTGCGGCATATTTTTAACATTTATTTGCCTCGAACCTCTAAGAGTTAAAACTTCTACTTCAATTATGTGCTCCCCTTCCCCCAAATCCCTCCCCCTTCAATTTGGGTCTTCATTATTATTCAATTTGGCCGCTATTCATTTGTATTTATATTGGTAAAATTCCCAAGTTGTGTGTCTATGAGATAAAACATAGATCTGATTGCTGGGAACCAGTAGGCACGCAAAAAAATATCTATGAATATGATATATCAAAGTATGCGTGGTTTGTGAAACAGCTGTATTTACAAATTGCAACCTATAGGATCTAGTTGAATAACAATATAGCTTTGAAATGTTAAGTTAACAATTAAAATGAACAGGAAAACTTCTTTGCTTCAATAATAACAGTATAATATATCTTTTCGTCAAGTTTGAGGTAATTTATCCCATGCACATCACCTTATTCTATAAATAAATATACCCTGAATAATTAACTAAGCATAAAAATAATGGTTTACTTGGTTTGAATATATCATAAGAGACAGTGCTAATGGATATATCTTGTGTTGTCTTTAAATTTTTTGAATATTTTCCATAGGCAATATCTCCATTTACCGGTCGTGGTAACAGCGGTAATTTTGTTGTTCACTAAACTGTTTTTGAGGTTGATTTTTGTTAATTTGTTTTTGTGTTCATGTTGTAATTAAAGATAGTCTAGTGTTTTCTCTGATTTTTTTTTAAATACTTACTACATTCTATCATATATGGGGCAGGTTTGCTGAGTGGTGAAACGTATTTAATCTTAATTTTGAAGATTTTTTCTCTAAATAATGGGTTTTGTATGGATCTTAATTGTTGTTGAATTCACGATTTTCACAATTAATGAGTCTCTTTTCTAAATATCAAGTTCCGTAAGTATTTTATATATGTAATCAAATTTTCATTGATTATTGTGTGCTTAACATCCAGTATCAAATAGTTCATTCATATTCAGGACGAGAACAAATAAATAGGTTCTGCAAGGTAAATCAATATTGATGAAGTAAGTGAAATTTCGCTGCCACTGGAAATTTAGGATATGTTTGATATGAGCAGAAATTTTGGCTTTCAAAAGCCATCTACTGAGCCCTCATAGTGTTGTTGCAAGGGTTCTTAACGTGCAGAAATCGTAGCACTAACCCTACAAGAGGCATTGGAGTTACCGTCTTGTCCTACCTATTGTGGGTGCGTATTTAAACATCCCGCACAGCTAAATGGACACCCCTATTTAGAAAGAGTTTTACTGCCGGATGGGAGGAAAAGTCCAGGGATGACCATATTTCTATACCCCAGTCAGCCCGTGGAGCTGCAGGTATTAATTGGTACTTTGGTTTTAATTTCAAAATGAACAATATAAAGACTTGTAGTATTGAAGATCAGTCTTTGACATTTATACAACATACTATGAATATGGTTTACATTACAGCTTGTGAAAAGACTGGAGCAAATGAGCAAAATTACAAAATTCTGTTCATCATATTCTGTGTTATCGCCAGCGTGTCTCTTATTGCAGCATCGACATATTTTATGAAAAAAAGACACAAATCAAGTTAGTATGAATATCTATATTGTAAACATGTATCATGTGTTTTGTGTACTATTGTTTGTCTGTTTGTCTTTTTCTTTTTTAGCCATGGCGTTGTCAGTTTATTTTCGACTTATGAGTTACAATGTCCCTCTGGTATCTTTCGCCTCTCTTTTATAATCGGTAATAATGACCTTTTAACTACCTTCATTATGTTTATATGAATGTTTACATCTTTTGAAAGTTCGATTTTCGTCCATAATTTTTTTCTATTTTTCATGTAGCGTACATCATTTTTCGTTGGTCTGAATGTTTACGTTCTCACAAAAAACAATAAAATACAAAATTGATGGGATGCGTTCTAGTATTGTTTGTATTGAAATCGCAATTTATCGATTGGCGATTTAATTGCCATTGTTTGTGAGCTGCCATCGCTCGTTATGAATCCTTAAACCTTTGGTAATATCCTTTGTACGGATAAATCTTCAGGTTTTCTATAGGTAGATGATAACCGGCCTTTAAACTATCAAATTGACTTTTTATGTTAAAAAAATGAAAACTGCTTAAAAATAGTTTACTAATGCATACCTATACATGTCATTCGTGTACTTCGTGGATCATCTAGTGGTTTTGAATGAGCATGAATGTGTTCAAATGTATTTTTTCTCTCATCTGAATGTCCTTTTCAAAACATTGAGTCTAAATAGACCAACCTTAATTAGTGATAAGATTATATACCATCACTTTCAATCTTTTTAAATTAATCTGTTGATTTGGCTTCACATCTTTACAATTTTAATAGCACAGGTGTATCATTATCAGCGTTAAGCAAAGAATTCTGCTCACATTTGTTTTAACTTTATTGAAGCGATTTTTTTTTCTCCTTTTGAAGATTTTCAAGATGAAGACTGTAACTTTTGTCTTGTGTGTTTTTCTATATTGCATCAAGGTCCACAATAATCCTTTCTTATTCATTTTAGGCTAGTAAAATATGAACTATTGGGATATAATTATGCATTTTATACCTTTCTACTTTTAACTGAAATGATAGTTGTTTTCAAGTCTGATCCAATCCATCTTATAGCTTAAGAGAAGATCTTCAAAAGAGTTCATGATGATGCATGATGGAAAATGATGGGAAACGAAGACCCCGACGCCAAGTGCTGACAAAATTGTTCTTGGCCAATTGAATTAATAATTTATCAAAACATTCCGGGGAACAGCAAGCCCGCATAGCAGCACCAAGACATTGTTGATATAGAAGTCCATTAAATTCAAAGATATTATATACGAGAACAGTTCTAAGGAGATGTAGTTGTATTGTGATTTGTCAAAATTATCGTAGGCAATTCTCACTGCAGATAATATTTCATCAATTGGACAATTTGTAAACATTTGGTTTATATCAAAACGAGAGCCCGTTAACCCACCCGCTGCCTCTCGCTTCTATTTTTTTCCTCTCTAAGTCCAAAACACCCCCTTGCACAGGACGCGACAAGAGAGTCGCACAATCGCAAAAACGCGAAAACTTGAAAACGCGAAATCGCCAAAACGCGAAGTCGAAAACTTAAATCGAGTAGTGAAACCATCTCGCGATTTCACGTTTTTGACTTCGCGTTTTCGTGTTTTCCACTTCGCATTTTCGTGTTTTCGAGTTTTCGACTTCGCGGTTTCGCGTTTTTTGCGTTTTCGCATTATAGAATATGAAAGGCGAAAAGAAAAAATCGCGAAAACGCAAAATGGTCTTAACCATCCACCATACATTTGGTATATAAGATAAAAACTACTGCATATATACGCTGCTGAAATATTCTTGTAAACAAATGTAAAAAAACTTTATTTATACAAATATCATTTATTCTGGGAAGCACATGTCTGGCTTTTTCACATCTGAAAATTTTAGAAGGGGACTGACATATTCCCGTTCATACATTTTATATCAACTACTTTAATTTAATCGCGACACATACATCCTTAGCAAATTGTAGTTACATCACAAGACAGGGTTCTTGTTATATTCTGTCCAATATAATTTCTGTAAAAATACCCCAGGGTGCAGAACCCTCGCATGTTCTTCAAGATTTTATATAAATTGTCTCATTCAAGAAAAGTTTACCTCTCTAACCATGCTAATTATATATTGTGTAATCATCAACTTCATCATCGTCATTTTTAGCCATTTTTGTCACAATCATATAACTGCCAATAGCTCCGTTTGAATAACCAATTTCACTCCAAACACGAGTTGAACTTTAAAATAATTAGCAATAAGCGATCTTTGGCTTGGTAATAGACGTCCTGATTGTTGAACTTTGTGGTAATCAATCGTCTTAACTCGGTCTATTCCGTTCTAGCGGATTCACTCGAGGATCAATAACAATTTTACAAATATTACTGAAAATATTAATCTTACTTCAAACTCAAGCACCAGTTGTTCTGGAAAACTTGATAATTATATTTTATGTCGTATACCAGAAAATGTCTTTTTTACCATACCACAAATAACAAATGTATTTGTACTCCATCAGTTAATCACACTTGATGAGTCAAAATTAATATGCATGAAACATTTTACACGTACTGGAATTAATCGATAGTTATGAAAAATGTATATTTGAATTTTACTATTTAACTTAAACAAGAAGCACACCTGGGTATTTTTTCCTGGATAAAAGGCGCAGAAGAGGGGGTGGGGATGGGGTAGTGATTCGGAAGACACTCGTTTGAGCTGGTAGTCGTCATCATCAGACATGGGCAAATCGCAGTGTTTTTTATACGAAAATGCCATGTCAAAGGATACGAATTTAAATTATTCAGTATATAATTCTGTATTGTCATATATATAAGTAAAACATGAAACTTGTGACAAATTCAAATGATAAACATCAACAAAATATAAAGTATAAAAGCCAACGGAAATTGGGTACCAACGAAGCGGAGAGAAAAGAGACAAAAAAAAAGGTTAGAAATCATTTGATTTAAACCATTTCTACCGTTTTGACGAGGTTACCGCTTATGAAACGATTTTCTGATATATATAGTGCTTAATTTTTATGCCAACAAGTAGCAAACAAAGACAAGTTTTGTGTAATACTTCAAAACTGTGCGCTTGGTACCAGAAAATTTCGAGGTCAATCGCTCTCCGACGTCCCACTGGCCAAATATTCATTCTTTTTCCAGACAAATTTTTAGATTATGATAATGTGACATCATATTTAGTATATTTACTGAAATTTGCTATTGCACCTGTAATTTTCAAGTTACTATACGGAGAATTGAAGGGCGTTGTACGGCGAATTGCAAAATAATAACTTGTTTTTCTGTACGGCGTCTTGCGATATACTGAAATGTAAAGATGACATTAATAACTATATAGATAATAACAAGGGTGATATGGTGTACATGTATTTTTCGTTTGGGCTTGTATTATATTTGCCTTCGGGTTTATATGATCCGTTCATCCTATTTCGACTCTTCAAAATTCAAGAGTCAATCCCAAATTGAGGTAAATTATATGGCCTTCCAAATACCGTTTCGATTCCTACCATCACTGAAGAGACATTTATTGTCGAAATCCGGATATGGTGTACAAATTTTTGCACCTCATGTTTGCGGTATACCATCTTTTCCGCAAGTTTATTGTTTTCTGTTTGGTATTAAATTAATAATTAAGATCCATTGTGTTACATCTGTCATCTGTTTATTTGGCAATCGCCATGGCAGTCAGCAGGGTTTAAGAACATCCGTTGTTCGACCTGCTAGTCAAATGCGTTTTGTTAAAATATACTTTTTCACTTTTTTGGTCTTTTGGAAAATGTTGTTTGTGCTGTATTTAGACCCCTCTACAAAGAAATTTGTTTTGCATGCACACGTATAAAAATTGCGGTTTTTATCCAACGCAATCATAGGTTTGAACGTTGTTTTTCAATTTAGACTTGTTTATATATATATATATATATATCCCTAACATCACTGAAGAGACATTAATTGTCGAAATCCGGATATGGTGTACAAATTTTTGCACCTCGTGTTTGCGGTATACCATCTTCTACGCAAGTTTATTGTTTTCTGTCTGGTATTAAATTAAATATAAGATCCGTGTTACATCTGGTGATCAATTTATTTGGCAACCGTCAATGGTAGTCAGCAGGGTTTAAGAACATCAGTTGTTCGACCTGTTACTTGAGTCAAATGCGTTTTGTTAAAATATACTTTTCACTTTTTTGGTCTTTTGGAAAATGTTGTTTGTGCTGTATTTAGACCCCTCTACCAAGAAATTTGTTTTACATGCACACGTATAAAAATTGCGGTTTTTATCCAACGCAATCATAGGTTTGAACGTTGTTTTCAATTCAGACTCGTTTATATTTTTTCGTTTGGGCTTGTATTATATTTTCGTTCGGTTTTATATGATCCGTTCATCCTATTTCGACTCTTTAAAATTCAAGAGTCTATCCTAAATTGAGGTAAATTTTATGGCCTTCCAAATACCGTTTCGATCCCTAACATCACTGAAGAGACATTAATTGTCGAAATCCGGATATGGTGTACAATTTTTGCACCTCGTGTTTGCGTTATACCATCTTCTCCGCAAGTTTATTGTTTTCTGTCTGGTATTAAATTGAATATAAGATCCGTGTTACATCTGGTGATCAATTTATTTGGCAACCGTCAATGGCAGTCAGCAGGGTTTAAGAACATCAGTTGTTCGACCTGTTACTTGAGTCAAATGCGTTTTGTTAAAATATACTTTTCACTTTTTTGGTCTTTTGGAAAATGTTGTTTGTGCTGTATTTAGACCCCTCTACCAAGAAATTTGTTTTACATGCACACGTATAAAAATTGCGGTTTTTATCCAACGCAATCATAGGTTTGAACGTTGTTTTCAATTCAGACTCGTTTATATTTTTTCGTTTGGGCTTGTATTATATTTTCCTTCGGTTTTATATGATCCGTTCATCCTATTTCGACTCTTTAAAATTCAAGAGTCTATCCTAAATTGAGGTAAATTTTATGGCCTTCCA